CCCCAAAACCCCAAAACCCCATTAAGTCAGTAAAGTTTTATTATCAAAATTCAAATATTTGGCTCACTAAATGAATAATTATAAAATATTTATTATTAAAAATGGCATTAGCAGAACCGATAGGCGTCATCAACCCAATAGTTAGGGAATTATAAGCAATTAATTTCCCTAAGGAACTCATATAACCTGAACCTTAGATACTTTCAAACTATGATAAAATTGAAAAGATTGGTGAAGGAACATTTGGGTAACATTTAAGAATTAACTTTATTAGTCAGGTTTATAAGGGAGAGTACACAAATCCCGATAATGGAGAAAAGAAGTTAGTTGCTCTAAAGAAATTAAATATGATTAATGAAAAAGATGGGGTAAATTACATTGTATAAGTTAAAATAGTTTCCTATCACAGCTTTAAGGGAGATTAAGTATTTAAAGTAACTGAGTCATCAAAATGTTGTCTAAATACTTGACATTATAGAATCAAGACGTATATACTTCTATTCAATTTTAATGACTTTAGCAAGAAGAAAAAACAAGATGAGAGGCAGTTTCTATTTAGTGTTTGAGTACTTGAAATATGATCTGCAAGGACTCATTGATAAAAGAATTAACTTTGAAATTCCTTAGCTTAAATGCCTAATGATTTAGATACTTCATGGATTGATTTATCTTCATCAATAGCGAGTGATACATAGAGATATAAAAGGCGCCAATATTTTAATAAGCTCTTAGGGAGTAGCAAAATTAGGTGATTTTGGTTTAGCAAGAACATTTTATCCCAATAATGATAGAATCCAATACACTAATAGAGTGGTAACATTATGGTATAGAGCTCCAGAATTGCTTCTTGGCGCAAGAAATTATTCTGATACAGTTGATGTATGGTCTTTAGGTTGTGTTTTTGCAGAAATGATCCTATAAAATGTATTATTTCCTGGTGACAAAGAAGAAAAGCAAGTTGAATTGATATATGAACGGTGCGGCAGTGTCAGCGAAGAAGAGTGGCCTGGTGTAACTGAAATGAAAGGCTTTAAAGAATTCGGACCAAAGAAAAAATAGCCAAGAAAACTTAAGGAGTTCTTATTGAAAGCTAGCAATGGAAAGTAAGTATTAACCGAGTGTTTGAAAAGCTTTTAGGATTAACGATTGCTTAGCTGACTTAATAGATAAAATGCTCACAATGGATCCTAAAAAGAGATTAACAGCTTAATAAGCATTGAATCATCCATTCTTTTAAGAATCACCAATAGCCTGCAAATCATAAGAGTAAATACTTTTTTTTAAATAAAAATTTTTAGAATTCCACTTCCTGACGAAGATTATCATGAATTTGTTGTCAAAAGTGAAAAGAAGTAAAAGACTAATTTTAAGAAAAAATTCGCCTTTCCCAAATTAGTATATGATATCAATGATCCGTTAACTAACAATTTTTGGAAGCCTTGCATGGAGAAGAATAACATCAAAAAGATTTCAAATATGTTCTAGCCAGCGCCTATACCAATTGAAGAGTAGAAATTACTTTAAGAGATGCAAATTTAAGAATAAAACTAAAGTTATGGCAGATTTAATAACAGTAATTAAAACTATCATTACGGAAATCATTATAATAACCATCATCAAAAACCATATGACCATGGAAATGGAAGATATCAAAGAAATCAATCACCTTAAAAGCATTTATAATAGCATAATCAATAAATTCCACAGAAAAATAGGCCTCTTCCTTTGTCTTAAGATGCTAAAGAGCTATAAATTCCCAATGACAACTAAATAATAATTCCTTAAATCGCAAGCAAAGTTGATAATCCAATTTAAGAATAGAATAAGGATGATCAAAGTAACTTTGTAGATTCTTGGAAGCCTGGTTAAGACGATGAGCAAAAACCTTAAATAGTTCCTTAAGCAAAGCCAGAAGAAATTAACAATGCTAATTCAGCTCAAAACAATTAATCTGGATATAATAATTATAAAAGCTATAATAGATAGGGAGGTGATTATGTTCGCCGAAATAATAGAGGTTATAATAACTACAATAACAGTAGATATTCTAGAGGCGGTGGATACAATAATAGATATGGTGGAAACAATAACTATTAAAATAGGGATAATAGATATTAAAGAGATAGGGATAGATTAGGAGGAGATAATGAAAATTTTTAAGAGAAATAAGAAAATAAAGAAGAAAACCGCGCTGATCCATTTATTCACGAAAATAAAGAGAAACATGAAAAATAAAATAAGCATAGAAGAAGTAGAAGTTAAAGTAGCAGAAGTTATAGTCCAGCATCGAAGGCATCTTCATATTCTTCATCTAGAAGCAAAAATAGAAGGTCAAGAAGTAATCATAGGAAAGGTAAACCTCAAACTGTTTCTAAGTAAAAACCAAATGTTGAATCTGGCAATCAAATTAGCCAGCCTTAGTAAGCTACTAAATCACAAGATATTACAGATGAAGCAGTTAAAAGAGACACACTCCAGGATGAGTTTTAGGGTAATAGAGAAGGTCCTTAAAGAGAATTCAAAAAACCTTAAACAGGAGGTAAGAATGACTACAGATAAGAATTCTATAACTCTAGTGGAAGAGATAAAATCACCTTTAATAGTAATCAAAGGGTGCATCAATCAAGTAACAGTAACTATGGAGGCTCAAGATACCACTAGAGAGATAATAATGAGAGTTAGAGTTAAGAATCTAAGCCATAGGTGATAGAAAGGGAAGACTAGCAAAAAACTACTGTAGAAACAAAAAGTGGTTTTCATCTGTATTTAGAAAAAAATAATCAAAACTAGCAGAATTAACAAAAGGACTATCATCGTTCATATCACTAGTATGATAGAGATAAAAGAGGCCAGGAAGTATAAAATAGATACTAAGACAACAGCAGGCAATAAGTCCCTTATCAAAGATCTAATTCAACTGATAGATTTAGAAGAGATTCAAGCTAAAATGAAAAGGGACCATCAATGGGAAGCAGAGATTCAAGTAATAAAAATGAAAATATGAGAGATATATAGTCAAGTTCATTTGCTAGTTAAAAGAGAGACTTCAAAGATTTTGAACTTGGGGATCCATCTGTTTAATAATCTAACAAAAGTGATTCTAAAGTGGAAGATTAACCAGTAAAAGCAGTTGAAAATAAGTCATATTAGAATTATATAAATAAAAATGATAATGATAGAAGAGAAAATTTGTAAAGAGATGACATTCCTAACTATAAAAATAGATACTAAGGACATCAAAATGAAAAATATGAGGGAAGGCGTTATGATAGTAGCGGGCATAGGAATTATCAAGAGAATGATAAATACAATAATGAAAGGTAGTATTTCAGTTATTATTAATTATCTATAATATTTAGGTATTAAAATCAAGGTGGATATCAAAAGAGATACGATTAAAATTACAATAAAGACAGCAGAGAGCATCATTAAAAAGATGAAGTTCAGGTGAATAATTAGAATTAAATCAGTGAATCAAGAGAATAAGATGTTAATACTTACAAAGATGGATATAGACCAAGATAGAATGTATATGATAATGATAGACACAAAAGATATGATAGATCAAGTCAAGAAAGATATCACAGAGAGGGCTATGAAAGAAAGTATCATAGGGACTATGATAATTAAAGAGTAGCAAGTACTAACGATTTGAATACTAATTAGTCATTCAGAGGGAGAGATCAGCTATACTCCTCAAATAGCACAGAGGTTAAAAATCCAAATGTAAATATCAAAAGCTATCAAGACTAAAAACTAGATGATAGACGCTAATATCAAAACATCAGACCTGATGGTTCCTCTTATAATTATCACAATCCGAGATATAATGCATATGAAGATCATCGTAGAGGCAGTGATAATATAAATAGTAATGAGAGACATAGAGAATACCGTAGTTATAATTCATACTCAAATCAACAGTAACATGACAGAAGAGGAGGTCATTATCAGTAGCAACCATTTGATGATGAAAAATAAAGATACTAACCCTATGACGGGATTCGTGGTGGGGCAGGAATCAGGCCTAATTATAGAAGAAGCAGGAGCAGGGGCCAAGACTGGAGAGACAATAATAAACAGCCTTACGGTCCTGGTGGCTAGTATAATGATAGAAGGAGATCTAGTTAGGAGAGACTAGCTTATAATAATAGGCCACTTTAGTAGTATCCTTCAAATAATGATGGAAATAATGAGGCTGCAAGAAAAGATAGTAAGGAGAATTATGAAGAGGGGGAAATTAAAAGATGGTGAGACATAGAATAATCAACTCCTCAACTATTCTTATTATGACAAAATTAATTTCATAAATCATTAATTAAAATTCACTCTATTAATCATCATGGGGTTTTGGGGTTTTGGGGTTTTGGGG